CTCTCTTTCTCTCTCTCTCGCTCTCTTGCGCACACACGATGCGCAAAACTCCACATTTGAACAGTCAATAGCAAATACTTAAACTAATAACAAAACAGTAGCTGATTCAGAAGCGCCAGATTGTCATAGCAAAGTCAGAATTACCTCCTCTCCTAGGTTCACGAAACGGTCGTCCATAAAATGCATTGCTGTTCTGTTGTAAGTAATCTTAAAGATTCCTAAATGCATCTACTTTCGGAAGGCCAAATAAAGTGCTTTTGCTTTTGCCTAGAAACAGACAGCGTCTCCCTGACATGGCTGCTTCAACACTAACTGCGGTTACTGAAACCACGCCTTCTTTCTTTGCGTGCACATTTGGGCGGCATTATGCAAATATTCCCACATAGTGACGTAGATATGTGGGGGCTTGTTAGAACGAGCCGTTTTAGGGGGGCGTGGCAGAGTCTTAACTTTGATAAAGAATATCTCTTTGGTTTTGAGACTTTAGTCTTTGCAACTTCAGGGATCTTATTTATGCACAATCAGCTTGTAACACTCCAAAGAGAAAGGAAAACTTGAAATCGCATCATATGACCCCTTTAAAATGCCAGCTGGTTCATTTGTAAAACAAGCTCAACAAGTCCCTCTTGTGGTTGATCACTATAGGCAAACGTTTAATATAGGAAGCAGCTAGAACTTTGATTGTTTTGTAAAATATGAACGCTTTCCATCCAAGCAGTTACACACTTTGTTTGAAGTGTAGCCTATTTGTTTGTTAATATACGATATCTGATTTATGTTGACACACTAATGTGGTTTCAGTTGATTACATTTTATCAAACTGATATTTCTTAATTTTGTGTACATGAAAAAAAAAACGTTAAGGAATTAGGAATGTAGTCTGGGAATTCGGACTAAACATGACAAACATTTCACCGTGAAGGCTCATCTATCTCTATTAATGTCACTGATTTGGTTTGACAGAAAAAAAATAGCTAAAATGGCAGAGGTTCAGGACTCTTTCTCTGGTTGCCACAAAAACAAGAAAAAGGAAAGTTACTGCTGTTCAGTATGACGAAAAAACCCCAAAGGAACGTCAGCATACTGCCCTGAAACATTTTGGCCAGTGAAACAATGTAGCGAAACATTAACGCAACATTTAAACATTCGAAAATGTAACAGACGGGCTTTAGAAAAAACCGTCGTTGTGTTCGGATGAAACATTCTAAATCCTAGTCAATGTAAACGTTACAGCGAACAAAAAATGTAACAGTTCGAAGATCAAATTCTCACACGGAAGTTGTAACTCAAACCCAGCAAACAGAACACGTTGGCTCCTCCGGGGGGGAACGGAGATTTGGAGGGGGAGTGTGAAGTTTAGGGAAGAGCCCTCTTTCCTTCAGCTGCTGACGCGGATGGGACTGTTTGTGCAACGACGCCGAAGACCACCGAAATCCAACCATGTTATCTTGGCTCATAAGTGTTTGGACCATTCTTGTGGTAGCACAATGTTACTTTTCAGAGGAAAATCATACCGAAGAGTCAAAGATGCATCCGCCCACGGTCGTTATAGCTATAATCGCACGGAACGCCGCTTATTCTTTACCCTACTACCTCGGAGCTCTCGAGAGATTAAACTATCCCAAAGAGCGCATCTCTATCTGGTAGGCAACTTCCTTCTCTCTGCCGTTTAAGCTTCCTGATGGTCTTTCTTATTATTTGTAGATGTCAAAAGGTCAATCTTATTTGCATTCAATCACCTCCTCCCCTTGACTTTTTCAGACTTTCCCCCAAAAGCTAACTAACCCTTCCCCCAACTAATAACTTTCGGGATGTATGTTTTTTTTTTCTATGCACTTAAATGCATTTATTTTTATTTCTACAGCATACTATTGAGAAAATAAACTGGGTAAAAATAATGTAGTGCATACTTAAGTATTTTTAAATAATGTTTTTTTTTTCTGATTAAAATGGACATGATGAGTCTAATGCTACATTGCAAACAGAAAAATTAGTTATGGCATGTTCGTTCTTGTAGTTAATTTGTATTACTCAGTATTTAGGTCCCTGACAAATAAGAGCATCCAAGTAAAAAAAAAAAAAAAGGAAAAATCTTTAAAATTTTACTTAAAATGTCATGTGGTGCAACTATCAAGAAATGCCATATTTTCCTTATACCTTGAATAAATCAGCGCACACATCATAATCATTATTTTTCCAAAAAGTTTTTAGATATTTTTTAGACATACAATGTTTTTTTTTACAAACATCATGAATTATAAATATCATTACATTTTTTTAGGAGTTGCACCACTTGACATTTTATGACCTGGACTTTCTTTGCCTTGTTATAAAAAGGTCACTGTAATGAGGGTCTTCACAGGTCCACTCTATGATATCATTTCCTGTTGTTTTTTCCTGTATGTTTATGAATGGTGGTTGCACCACATGACTTTATAGAAAATATATAAATGCATGTAAATGCTCACATACTTACTTACATATATACTTATGTGCACTAATTCCTGTCTCTCTGTTTATTGTTTCCTTTAGGGCAGCGACAGACCACAACATTGACAACACAACAGCAATCCTGCGAGAATGGCTCACTGTCATGCAAACACAATATCACTATATTGAGTGGAGACCTTTAGATAAACCCACGTGAGATGATCATCACACAGCATGAACATATGGCAGATACTTTGTCCTGTTAAAACTGCACTGTTAAAAATGTATTATTTTTTTAAGTTTTTGAAATTTAGGTGCTACCACTGAAGCTTGAATTGGTTTGTTTTATCTGCACAGGTCCTATGTAGGTGAGCCGGGGCCCAAGCACTGGACTAACGGCCGCTATGAGTATGTTATGAAGCTCAAACAGGCAGCGCTGAACTTTGCCAAGAAACGCTGGGCTGACTATATTCTGGTATGACCCAGTTAGAGCATATACACCCCAATTTTGGATCACACATGCTCAAATATATATATCAGGAGTGTTAAAAAAAAATGTAAACAGGTCAAACTTCTTCAAAGTTCATGGATGTTCAGATCTTACTGGGTTCATAAATGTGAATTGTGCTGGAATGCAGAATAATTATTTTTGCTCATATCATGTCAGTGTGTTTTATATTTGTTAATATCATGACTATTACATTTTATAATTAGGATTGTGTTGTCAGGTGTCATTCTTTGTGTTTATTTCCTCATCTGCAGTATTCAGACACAGACAACATTTTGACTAACCCGGACACACTGCATCTACTGATGGTGGAAAACAAGTCAGTCATTGCCCCCATGCTGGACTCACAGTCAGCGTACTCCAACTACTGGTGTGGCATCACTCCACAGGTACAGTGCAATGAATTTCCAGTTTGGAAGTGTGTATGAGTGTGTGTACATGTGTATGTTCTAACAACGCAATGAGTGATAGCTAACGTTTCATCTTGCAATACTCCACATCAATAAAGTGGCCATATCTGCTTTCACTGTTGCTGTATAATATTAACAGCACTGGAGAAACTACTTTAAAGTGTATCTTCTCCATTTATAGACTACTGGTACTATAGTTTAATTAGTTGTGACGATAGTAACTAACTTCATTGTGTGTGTGTGTGTGTGTGTGTGTGTGTGTGTGTGTGTGTGTGTGTGTGTGTGTGTGATA